TCTGTTCTTCTCTTCTTGATCTTCTCAATCTTCTGCTGTCAGATATTCTATTCCTTACTCACCATATATACTACTTATGTCGATATCAGTAGCTCACACCACACTCGTCCCCCCTTTTAATAAGCTGTTCTCGCAATCTTTCTGATCGCCGTACCATTGTCTCCTTTGGTGCTGTTCGTGACTCGTGCTCATGATGTTCCTGAAACCATCTCTGTAGTTGACTGGCATTTACACGCTTCTGCTTGTCTTCTCTCCGGATCGTGTAAACTGGGCCGCGTCTCTCCGTGATAATGTACGGTCCCTCCACATGCGAAACACTTATCATTCCTTTTACGAATCACTCGTAATGCCGCAATCTCGTGCTGCAGTTCTTCAATCTTCTCAATGCTGCTTATCTCCTGACTTCCGCACGCGACCGGAGCTACTGTTTGTGTCATCAACTGTCGCGTCACCTTTGCAAGCTCACTGATATCCATAGGTTGCGCGGCGTGTACCAATCTCAGCTGCTGGGAAACGGCAACAGGCACGCTCTCGATAAACTGAGACGCCAACAACTGTGCCTCCGACTCCTCATCCAGATTTGGCAGCGCGCGACGCAGCAACTTGGTAAGCTCCACGGCCAGCACCAGCGGATCACCATCGATCGGCAACTTCGCAACTCGGAACTTCTGCAGTGCTTCTTCTCTGTCCACTGGGCTATCGAACTCCATGGTCAACCGCTCCGTGACTGCCTCCCATGTAGTCTTACCTCCCGCACAGTCCAGGCTGTCATATACAGCTTTCGCTCTGCCTCTCAGCAGCGTCCCCAGCACCACCGTCTTCGCCTTCGGCTCCTTCACTCCCGCCAGCTCCGCCACAGCTTCGAACTCCCTCAGGAAGCTCAGCACATCTCCCTCCTCAAATTCCTTCGGCCATGGAATCTTCATCCTTGGAGGCAGCGACACCAAATGTTGCGAATGAGAACACAGGTGAGGACAACCAACTTTGTATTTAGCACAAATTACGTTACTTGGTAAAATACAAAAACCATGCTATGATACACTATTTGCAAAATGTTCTTCAATTGCCTCAGGCTTCATTGTTCCTGGATTTCCACACAAATTGCTTTTTTTATTTCTGTTCTTCTCTTCTTGATCTTCTCAATCTTCTGCTGTCAGATATTCTATTCCTTACTCACCATATATACTACTTATGTCGATATCAGTAGCTCACACCACAGTATGTATCACAAATCGAAAATGAAATGCCTGCCGGCAGAAGGTTAAGAAGATCGAAGGAAAGAGAACGATAACGGAGAGTGGTTGGTGTGGAAACGAATGAACAATGAAGTCTGAGACGATTAATTGATTGACATTTTGAAACTAAAGTATTGCACATACGGTTCTCAGATTTTATTAAGAGATTTTTTGTAATTTTGTAATCAAATACATTCGAATGTCCCCCCCCACTTGCGTTCTCGTTCACTGCAATACCGCCAATCCATTAAACCATCATTTGTAAGTAAAAACAAGATGATTATTAAACAATAGTTTCAACTGTATACTGCTGTGACAATTTTATTCACGCAAAATGTGTGTGTGTGTGTTAAAACATAGAGGAATACTATTGAATAATATTTCGTTTTGGTTTACATCAATATCATTGTCAGCGTTTTGTCCTATTTGGGACTCGTCAGCTGGATATACCTGCACCTGAGTTGATGTTCACACTGGGACTCGAACTCAGTACCTTCCGCTTCAAACTCTATCGCGTTATCCACTCAACTACTGAGTCCTTATAGCCACTTGCTTGTGCAATGGGGTCAAGTTTAAATTCACTTGGTATTTTTTGTTCGAATCTTTCCATCAACTCTGAGATGCAGGCACATCCAGCTGACGAGTCCCAAATAGGACGAAACGCGCGTCATGGATTCCACTGCTAGCCACTGATCATCTTTGCTTATAATGCTCGTAAATTAAGACTATATCTAGGCAACGAACATATGTCAATAAGAGACTGATCAATTGCAGTCCTAAAAATCAATGGGAAGATTCAAATAAGCAATACCAAGTGAATTTAAACACTTTATGCGTTCGTGATATGATCTTTAGTTGTAAATACCATTTTGTTATGAGTTCATTAATTATGTATAATTTGTTTACCACAATAACCTTAACTATTTCATAGGCTTTTCAACTGAGATCAAATTTATGGGTTCAGCCTTATAGTAATTAATGATGGTGAGTTTTAGGCCAGTTATAAATTTCCCTTTACTTTTTCTGTAACCACTATCGATAGTTATTGGAATCTGTTTTTAATATTATTTGAAGTTTTGGATCTAAAGATGTTAAAGTCAATAAAAATCATAATCTGATAATATCTACTCACTTCACAGATTCTGCAGTTTACTTCTATTCAGAATCATATGTTAAGTCTCTACCATTGGTATCTGTAACTCACAAGTGGGTGATTTGTTTATTTATCACAGACATTTATCATAGACAATAACACCGTTGGATGTCGGATCAGTGGTCTACCGGTTCAGTGCTCTGGCGCGAGACTGGTAGGTCCTGGGTTCGAATCTCGCGAGGCGGTATGGTGGGGGCGCAGTGGTGAGGAGTCGCACAATAGGATGAAATGGGCGTCCAGTGCTTCCGGGTTTTCTATGGTGGTCTAGCCTCAATTGACTCATGATCTTAACTATATAAAACATATAAACGACTTCTAGTGAACTTGAAGGTTAATCACATTTAACATTCTGTATCAAATCCTAATTGTTCAGTGCAACTATCGAATTTTGTAGGTTTGCTTCGAATTTATCCGCATAGTTCTTGACATAGGAAGGAGAGTATTGAGTTACTAATACTTAATTAACAATCAAGTGTTCATACCACCAAGTCAAATGTTATATAGTTTAAATGAATCGTTTAAAAAATTTTTTAATTACGGAATCTCTTATATTTTAATTAAAATGACAATATACCAGATTACTATGAACCATAGCTAATAGACATTAAATAGGAATAATATATTTGTAAAATCTCAGCCAATGAATTTGAAGTAAATCCAACGTTTCGCCTAGCAATCTGGTCCAAGCTTTTTCAAGGAATTCCTTGGCGCTCAAATACTGTAAAACTGTTCGCTCTAATTTAGACGAAAGTTCTTATACATAACTAATAGAATTATGGAAATATTTCTTAATTTTAGACTTTGAATTTTCACTAAACACCCTGAATTACTTTTGTCTATTTAATTTTGAGTAAAGAATATTCAGTTGAACTCTTATTATATATAAACTTTAAAACAAATAGGCCTTCACATTATTGTGGATATGTCCTTGCTTTCTCCTGTTAAATTATTCATATTTTTCTAATTCAACATAGGAAGTCTTAAAAATAGAAAAGCAGAATTATAAACAAAGAATATTCTTTTCAATAAGGTCTTATCAAGTTCTTTAGTTGTACATTTTAATTGATACTTCAGACGGTTAGCCAAATACATCTTTTATAGTTAGAACGTGCAAATTTAAGAATGTTGGTAACACTGTATACAATTGTTAATGTTGAAATGACTAGTGTTATAGTGGTTACTTAAATAAGTTTACAGATTATATGAAACTAAATAATCGTATAATCTTACCATTACATCAAATCTTTAGTCGATGATTAAATAATGTTTACAGTGATGTGAAGAATTCTAAGGAAATTCGTGCAATAATTTATTATGAAAAGGGTTTAATGATATATATATAATCATTTACAAAAAGAACATCGATTTGATAACTTCATATGAGTTAAAATTGTATGAATTATATCGTGGTGTAGGTTGCTTACATCCACATAAGTAGTATATGACGATGGTCGGGCATTGAATGTATTTCAGTAGAAGATCGATAAGGAGAGAACGGAAACGAAACGCGATTGCGATGAAAATGCATGAACAATAATAATCGGAGACTATGGACTGATATTTGCTGAAGGAATGCTCAAGATTGAGACAATTAATTGATAGTTTGCAAATTAACTGTTTACTGTATAGTTGTCAGATTTTAGTGAGATATTCTGTAATCTTCGTGTCAAATACACTCGATTGCTCCCACTCTGGTTCTTGTTCACTACAATATCACTAGTAAATCATGTATATGTAAACTGATTGTCAATTTTCACTATGCAATAACTTTTTTCATTCACTACATTTCATCCTAAAAAACATTCCGTATACATTTTTGTTTACAATTCTTATGATTCTTAATTTCCCTTTAAAATTATGGAAAATCTCTTATCTTGAAACATCCAGAAAAGAAGTCACTTTTATCATTTGTGCACTTTAATCAGGGCTTTATTAAAGGGATGATATTCATTCTAGTTACTTACTAGAGTATCTATGACATCTAGATGATAAACATAATCAAAACTGTGTGATTCTTAGTGGTAAATGAAAATAATGCATCAAAAATTCGAAAAAAACTTGACTCGTTCGGGAAATAGAGTTTTATTATCATTATTACTGAGAACCTTGTGAAGTGAAAGTAGAATTAATGATAAATTAATGTCAGAGGGGGGTTTGTGGAGAATTTAGTATTTTCACAGTTGAAATCATGAGTCAATTGAAGCTAGACCACCATCGAAAACCTGGAAGCACTGGATGGCCGTTTCGTCACAGTATAGGACTCCTCAGCATTGCGCATTCACAATCCCGCACACGATACTCAAGATGGTGGCTATCAACGGAATCCAGGACGGACGTTTCGTACTATTTCGGACTCCTTGACTGGATGTACCTTCATCTGAGATTTGTTGTTCACTCTGGAACTGAAAACTTATACCGTTCGTTTCAAACGTCATCTCGTTATCCAAAATTCTTATAAATTACTTCAAAATACAAAACTGAATAGGCAAAATCTTATTGTTGTAAAGTTTGCTTAACATTAGGTATAAACATTATCTCATGGCTTTTTAGGAGTTCTACAGTGAGATGAAAGTGTCTTATTGATTATTCGAAGTAGTCGTAAAACAATTTTAAAGGCAATTTTTAGTTTTGAAATTCGAAATAAAGGATATTATTATTATTATTATTATTATTATTATGAATAGAAACAATAAATAATCATCTAAATTGGTAGGTACATAATGGACTAACTGATAGACTTTCATTAAAAACAATACTTATACAATGAAACAAATCAAATAATATTGTTCAACAAAGTGTAATGTGTTTAGAGACAAGCAGCATAGATGTCAACACAGATCATAAGACAAAGATCAACGAATTACATCACGAATATGCCAGAAATTCTGAATTCAAATAATGAGTTTCATTTGAAATTTTTATTTTGATAAATACTACTGAAAACGATTTTCAGTACCATTGTATTTCTTTTGTTCATAATCTGTTATTAGTTTTGTAAATGATAAGCAAAATGTTTCCCATAATATATTCTGGTGACTACAAGAGGCTCGTATGAATCACATCATGTTGTACAGTGGTATATCATTATTATTGGGTTAATTTCAAGCAGGATTCTTTATGATGAACTCGATTGAGGAATGCCATATTGTGAAAGACTGCTAGCATTTAGACAATAAGGATGGAAGTCAACAGGCTGTAAATATGTTTCTTTTGTTAACAATTGACTGTTGGATACAACTTGTTTATTCAAGCTGAAGCAATTTGAAACAAATGGATTTGAAGCAAAATGTAGAATGTTATGATTCTTATTATCTGGATCACTTAAAATACTGATATTATTTTCTATACTGTGTTTTAAGATAATATTATCATTATTATCTGGTTTAAACGACTGATCATCCACTGAATAGCCTTGATTTTGAAGAGGCTGTGGAGTAGATAACCATGTATGAGTAGAACCATGAAATTTCGCATCATGAACTTGTTCTGCGTTTGTTGAAATTAAGTTGTGAACTGAAGGGTTCTTGTATAAGGTAGACTTTGAAGATGCCTGTAAAAGTGCAGATTTATTGTCATGAGTTAGAAATTCCTCTTTGTTTAGTGGTAATTCTTCAGTGGTTGATGTATCTGTAATATATTTCGAATGTGAAGTATCGCATACGACAGAAAAATTGAAAGAGTGATTCAAATCTTCAGGTTCAACTGAACAGTTGCTGTCTGTATCACCTAAGGATGGAAATTTACATTTTTATATTATGAAACATGGACAAAATATAAATCAAAAATTTTGAAAAAACAGTTTTGTGAATACTTCATAGACCGAAAGTTATTTTTCTTACCTTATAGAAGGTCTCAATGTGGATTATATATGTTGTCTTAAAAGAAGCAGAGAACATCTTAACGGTAATTCCTAAATTCTGATTTTTGCTTCAGTGATAGTGACACAGTAACAAGTATTTTTAATATAACACCTTTGTATATCATAATAAGCGAAGAATCAGTTGAAACAATATGGTCTACCCAAGTAACACTCATCAGAAGCAAGAACTCCGCACCGAAATGCCACTAGACTTTTTACTATAAACTGTTGTCATAAGTCACTTATTGAATATTAACTTAATCCGATTGTTATAAGTATCTCCAGAAGCTAACTATTCAATAGTTGGCAAAGTGATCACAAATATGGAATGTTTGAATTAGAATCCAATGACTCTGTTAATCCGTAAACTTACAATCCTTATATTAAAGTTAATTGTTCAAAAATTTCATAAACCGACTGAAACAGTCTTAATCAAATATTGGATCATAAAATCTATTCACTGAAACTTAAAATAATCTTTGTTAATGTTCTAAGAGCTTACTTAAAACTAATAAATCTTAAAAATTGAATTCATGAGTCAATTGAAGCCAGACCATCATGAATAACCTGGAAGTCCCATACTAGGACGAAACGGCCGTCCAGTGCTTCCAGGTTTTCCATGGTGGCCTAGTTTCAATTGACTGATGAATTCAACCATTAAACTACTAAAATCTCCACGAAACCCTCTTCTACTTATAATAAACCTTAGATTGAAATAACCCATTAATGATTTAGTGTATTTATACAACGGGTAGAATTCGTTCTTATCTTAGCAGAGATTACAACGCTACATTTACTAAACCAGCTTTAGAATTTAGTAAAGATGTAAAGAATAATTGACTTTTCTGTCAAAAACCCACTTTTTTCAAGTTAAATGAAGAAGAAGAAAGTTTTAATTATAAAACACAAATCACATTGTGAAGGAAGAGATATCAACTTTAACTACCAGTACTGAAGAATGACGATATTTTATTTCCTTGTCATTGAATTGCTAATTTATTTTAAATTATCGAATCATACTATCATACGGACAATAATTAATATAGCTGTAAGAATAAGAGGATATCACATATAAATCGAATTATTTCAAAAGGAAGAATACGGTAGAAATTCTCTATTACTTCAAATGTTTCTTCGGAAACAATTCCATAAAGTGAACCATTTCACTATACTGCATTTTTTAAGATTAAGATGATCTTATAAATCTCGAAAACGCATAACATTTGTACTTAGTTACTACTAAGGAATTACTTAATATTTTCAATTTGTTTCCTCACTGGGTAACAAACATTCTTAATAATTATCCAAACTGTGTCCTATTGATGGATAAAAATAAAATCTGTTGAAGATTGTAGATAGTCAATAATTAGATAGAATCAATTCTATCTTACCATTTCATCACTTAAATTAGAAAACTTGAGTATAAGTAAAAGTAGACTTACTTGAAACAGAACCTTGAAATTCATCCTTAGATAGATATTCATCTCCACTAGTTGAATCATCCAATATAATTGAATTATCACCACAGTATGGTGCAGAACTTTTGTCTAAATCATTTGAACATGTTGAATATAAGTATGATTCATTCATAGAAACAGGGGTATTACTATTAGTACTTGTATTTGTACTACTAATTAATAAAGAATCAGAAATTGACCAGATATTTCTTCCAGCATCTTTTTTTAATCTTTTCTCTTTTGCCCTAATAAATAAGACACGAGAACATTAAATCTAAAAATTAATTTAACTGATTAGTTTTAATGTTTACACATTAATCAAACAAAAGATTGTCAATACATCGTATATTCTGACCTTAACTTACATTAATCACAGTAATTACAGTAAGTATAAGCTAAGAAGTTATATGTAACAAGATCGAAGTAAAGTTGTATTAATCAGTAAAGGGTTGTGGAGATTGTTAATTTTTTGATTGAAATCATGAGTCGATTGATGTTAGACCACCATGGAAAACCTAGAAGCACTGGATGGCCGTTTCGGCCTATTGTGGGACTCCTCACCAGTGCACATCCACGATCCCGCCTCACGAGATTCGAACCCAGGACCTATCAGTCTCGCGCACGATCGCTTAACCACTAGACCACTGAGCTAGCCGGCATCCAACGGTGTTAATATCTAACTTCAACCAATCCACGAAATCTAAACAACCGTTCACCAATTGTGTTCAGTGAGTTGATATCTCTACAACAGACCTGGTTGAACTCCACTGGTCACCATTAATACTTCTAAATAAATTCATATATTTGTGATATCCCAATGAAAAGAAAAATTAAATTTTCTGACATTGATTTATTCAGACCTGTTTTTTGATTGATCGCACCTAATATTCGTGTTGTTCCATAGTACTATTTAAACTTAGATTAATGTTATTTTCGTTAGTTATTCTCTGAAGAAGTGACTTAAACTGATTTGCGAAATGTCAGAAAATCTAACTCTTTCTACTCATTAGGATATGACAAATATATTGTTTTTATTTATAACAACCTACCTAATTCACTTAGTGGCTATCAGAACTCAGTAGCTGAGTGGATAACGCAAGTTTGAAGCGGAAGGTACTGAGTTCGAGTCCCAGGATGAACATTAACTCTGAGATGCAGGTACATCCAGTTGACGAGTCCCAAATAGGATGAAACGCGCATCTTCCATTCCACTGCTAGCCACCCTTCGTCTTTGCTTACACTCTACCTAATGCTCAATTTATTCAATATTATCAAATCAAAACTTAGTAATGATACCTACTTCTCTATTTTTTTTCTTCATAAATTCATCAAATATAACGAAATTAATATATATATCTATCAGCTTAAACTATTCATGGTAATAGTCTATACTGTTTTCATCCATGATACAAACCGAGCTCATCAGTTGTACAACGAATTGTTATATTCATTGAGACTGGCCATTCGTTTTTAGAATAATTAAACTTCTTGGTATATAAATTCAGATATTATTATACAGTATATTTCTTATATTAATTCTTCTATACCTTTATATATATATATATATATATATATATATATAACTCTTGAGGGAATAAGTCAAAATAAGTGAATATCTTTTCAGAGTAAAAGATGAAGAACTTTTCCAAGTCTATTTATAATCAGCCAAATATTCATATTTTTATTTTGTTTTATAATATATATATATATATAATTCGATAACAGTACAGAGGACTTAATATACATATTTGTATATATGCAAGAGTAGAGGTAGTGAAGAAGAAAAAAGAAGAGTTCACACGCATACAATCGGATATGCAAAATGAAAAATGGACAGAGAAAAAAAAACCACATGCATAACTAACAATTCTTTAAAGTAGTTTTTCTTCTTTTTGCAAGGGTGGTTATATGATGAATTATGCATTCCAGTGGAAATGCAAAATGTATGCATGAGTGAATGAATTTTTGAAATCCATTCACTCATCATCAATTCAAAAGCCAACAACAACAAAAAAAAACTAACGACAACAGCAACAACAGCAACCACAGTAGAACTAAATATTTATTTTCGTCAACCAGAAATGGTTGTTCTTTTTTACCTTGGGGAATATTTTGTATTTTCTTATTACGTATACATACACACAAATGAAACTAGAATGATAGAAGTAAAGAGAGAGGGGGAACAGAAAGAAAAGAAAAGAGAAAGGGAGATAGAAAGAAAAAATAAATAGACAGTGAAATAAATACAATAGACAGATAGATAGACGGATGTGAACATTCTGTGTACTTTTTTTTATATTTAACCAGTGGTTGGTGTAAAAATGAAGGTGGTTTTGAGTTAATAATGAAATTGATAGAAAAGCAACGTAGAAAGTGAATGATTTTTCCAAATTTTTTTACTTCTTTTATGCACATTATATATATACCACTATCATGCTTATTATAAAAACGAAGTTATTCAAATTAAGAAAGACGAATTTAATGTTAATTCGACATTAGGTTTTATATTCATTTTAGTTATTATGAAGTAAGTATTGGTAGAGATAAAGTAAGCACCATATTAGTTCATCGGCTTCATATCCAGTGAGACTAAACCATCGCAATTAATCTTGCTTATGCTAATTAGTCACTATATGGACCTTAGATTTAGATTATGTAGTTATTAAGAATAATAGAGCTGTATCTCTCAGTTGAAAATGTAGACACTAGTCTAAAGGATAATGTGCATTTTCAATATGGGTTGGTTGAAATCATTCAATAGGAATCCATTGATCAACGTTTTCTTTCTACTATTTAACAGTGGAATCTACTTACAGTCTTAAGGGTAATAGTAGTTTTTTATAGGTTTGAACTGATATGACTTATCGACATAATTATAGATGTTACGGTCGAGCTATTCCAATGGTTACTGAACTCCAGTATGATCTGAGTAATTAAACTGGAACATTCAGGAGTTTTTATTTTATTATAGTTTTGACTAACATATCTACTTTGAATAACTGAAATACACCTATACATAATGTCCCTAATAACCTAAGTGTGTTTCACTCGGTATTTAGGATTTTGATTTCATTTATAGATTTTCCACATATCACCCGATGTTAATTATCGCTATCAATCACTATTGAATTGAAAAATTAATTACTTTTTTCATTTTTAGTAATTTTATCAAATATTTAAACTTACCTACGATTTTGAAACCATACTTGTACTACACGCATATCTAAACCAGTCTCTTCACTAAGCTGTTCTCTGATGTGACGTACAGGTTTTGGACTTTCACCATAAACCCTTTTAAGTGCTTCTAGTTGTTTGGCTGAAATAGTTGTTCTTGGACGTTTATTAGCATTGTCTAATTCTGCTTCTAAAAAAATTTAGATGTAATGTAATTCATTTAACAATTAGTTAAGTACATTCGTAATTTAAGGGGATCAAATGGTAATATTAATACATATGCATTTCTTTTTGTAATATCACAATAAAGTCATTGCATTTCCTGTAAATAAAATTCACAAGTTGAGTTTTGTGAAAGTTAATCTCAAGTCCCATAATGCTATATTCAATGTATGACGTTATCTATGATGGCCTGATTCAGAAAGGTGTAAATTTATTATGCAAATAATATAATTTTAATAGTTGAGATCATGAATTAATTGAAGGTAAACCACCATGGAAAACCTGGAAGCACCGAACAGCCGTCTAGTCCTAATGTGCAACCCCTCACCAGTGCGCATCCACCATCCCACCTTATGAGATTCGAACCCAGAACCTGTCAGTCTTGCGCACGAGCGCTTAACCACTAGACCACTGAGCCACCATCCAACGGTGTTTATGTCTAACTTCAACTAACCCACGAAATCGAGTGACACATCCACCATTGTCTTCTGTGAGTTACTATCTCATAACAGACCTGGTCGAACTTCACTTGTCACTGTTTCTCCCTAGAACTCCAGGAAATACTTCTTGAAGCCAGTCACTAGTGAGCATATGCTGATTATTATCAGAAGGGGTTTTTGTGGATAATATAATAATTTTAATAGTTGAGATCATTTAATTTAGTTTGCCAGAAAACACAGCTGTTAATTTGTAAACTACTTTTGTGATGGATAAAGTTAATAACATATACCCATTGTTGATAATTCATTCTTCTTTTTTAGGGATAGAGATTATGATTATTCGGTTGCAAAATGTATTGTACATATAAGATGAAACATGAAAGTACCAGATTAGGACTAAACGAAGGACATATGGACAGATCAACTTTTCTGACAAGGATAAGAAATTAGAAATCTATAGCATAGATACAGTCTCATTGTCTTAAATGCAAACCTAATTATCTAACTTCCCACAAGTACCATATTAACAAACTACAATTTTACTTAAAATTATTTTACTACTTTTAGATTTTTATCAAAAATATTTTTTTCTTACCTCGAGCTTTAGCAGTTTCAAAATCTGACTTGCACATTAGTTTTCGATCACGTAATAGATAGAATTCATCGCCTGTATTTAACATACGAGCACAGCTGACACATGAAAAACAATCTAAATGATATACATTTTCTTGAGCTGTGCGAACAACTTCCATTGGTGGAATACCTTTATCACAACCTGCACATTTTGTTCCAAAGCGACTAAATAAATAATAAAGGAAAATTAATATCATTTATTTACTTACAAAAAAATATCTGCTTTAACTAATGAATAATATAAAGGAAAATTTCCCATTTATGTTATTGTTGTCTTTCCAAGATCACAGTTAAGTATAGTTACTTTTACTTCTGGTTTCTATCAACTTCAGAGTTCATTTCTGTTGGTCATAGATAAAAGGTTTAATGAAATGAAATTCAAAGAAGAAAAACTTGATGATTATGCTATAAGAGAAACAACCACTAGAAGTAAATCCGAGTCTAGAAAAAAATCTTAATATATCCATGCATTTTACCTCCAATATAACTTGTTAAGTTGTTTGCCATACTGACTTTTCCTATGACACTAATATTTATCAACATAATTTTTGGAGATAATCATCAATTATACAAATAATAGACCTCAAGGTTGTAGTGAGCATAACTACATTGATTCATGATCTCAATCATAAACTTAACAATCTCCACAACCCCACACTGATGATATATATCTGCCATGGCATTGAATAAGAAGAGAAACAGATGTTTAGCTGATTATGAGATTGTGGAGAAGATTTTCAGCTCAGGTGGATGATTTTAATGGAGTTTTGTTTTCTGAGCTGGATGGTTTGGTCGTGGAGCATTCATCGTCCTTCTGAACGACTTCTCCCCGAAGTTTGTGCTGAAGATGTCATCCAGTAGGACAATGAACGCTCTACGACCAAACCATCCAGCTCTAAGAATAAAACTCCATCAAAAAGATGAGATGATTATCAAGAAAATTTAAATATTCCTTAATTGATTTAAAAGTATCCGCCTAACTATTAATCATTAATGCTCTGTAAATTAATTTATTTTCTAAAAACAATTGCTTCAATTTCATTGAATAATATTCGGTTGTGTCACCATAGATTGAATGAGTCATACGATATTGTATGTAATCAAGATCACTATTAACTAGCTGAAGATGACCCCAAACACAAATTTATGTATATATATATATAGCACTGGACGGCCGTTTCGTCCCACTGTGGGACTCCTCAATAGTGTGCATCCACAATCCCGCCTCGCGAGATTGGAACCCAGGACCTACCAATCTCGAAACCATTTATAAATGGTAATTATTATACATAAAGGAAAGAAATATATCAATATATGTTATAAGACAACAAGAGAAAATTCTTTTATAATAAATTGAACACGTGAACAAAGGTTAATAATATATATATGGGTCAATCTAATCTAGCTTACAGTTTAACACCTATGATGCATTAACTTATTAACTTTTTCCCATCCACTTTTTCATATTCTTATACTGACATAAGAAACATGAAAAAACTCACATTAGTTTAGTTCGTTTGTATTATAAGAGATTATCAATAAGCTTTCTATTCATGCCAAAAAAATATATATATAAATAACAGACAACTTGTATCTAATAAATTTCATGACACCTTAGTCTGGAATTGTTTTCTTCTTCTTCTTCTTCTTCTTCTTTTTCACCACAATAATATTAATACTACTACTAATAATAATATTGATAACAAATACAATGAGCATAAATAAAATGTCTCATTTATCTATCGAGAAAACAAACTTCTGAAATTTCTTTCTTATTCTAATATAAAATAATCTACATGTGTGTCTGTATTTATCGATGATGGAAGGGGGGCAAATATAAAATTAACGAATAGACAGTTAGATGAAGACTGAAATCTCCAATGAAAGGGGGGTTGGTTGTTGATAAATAAATAAAATAATGAAGTAAACATTCGAGAAAAATTAATAAGTAAAAAATATCCCCACACAAATGCACACACACAAACAAACAAACAAAACAATTTTATTCTCTTTTTTTTGTCAATCTAATGAATAAACACCATTTAGTTAATTAAAAAAAACAACACCTATCTGAACAATAATAACATTAAAACCTACCTCAAAGAGAATATAATCCCCAATTTAGATAATGTTCGAATAGATTTCAAGGAGTAAATGAATTAATATAACTATTTGTTTCTATTTACAGTGTGAATATTCCTTTTTCATTCTTAGTTCCCTATTCCAATATCATTATAATTGTTACCATTGTTAGTGTACAAAAATTAAAGAAATGTTACTAACAATACTACTTATAGTAATGTTTAAGTATGAAATACAATGTTCATATCATTTATCTACTTGTTTTAAAATGATTTATTATTATTCTAATAAAATGATATACATAGACATATTTAAATAAATGTAATTTAATTGACAATTGAAAGCAGCTGATAAATAATCATGACTGATTAAACTTGTACTAACACTATTGACAAATAGTCCAGTATAGCGAGAGGTAGAAAAAGAAAAAAAGGAGCATTCATATTAATTCTTTTTGAATTAAGTTTCATTTTTATGTATAGCTGTTGGTGTAAATGGTGAGTACATTTTATTTGATCAAGCAAAAGGTATTTGCATAGTTGAAAGCGTGAGTCAATTGAAGCTAGACCACCATAGAAAACCTGGGAGCACTGGATGGCCGTTTCGTCCCATTATGGGACTCCTCAGCAGTGCGCATCCACGACCTACCAGTCTCGCGCCAGATCACTTAACCGACAGACCACTGAGCCGGCATCTGATGGTGTTTTTGTTTAACTTCAACCAAGGTATTTAGTTTACAAATGAAAAATAATATTCAGTAGTAGAATAATATTAGTAACTAACTTTATGTTACGTAGTCATCAATATTGGATCGACGTTTTAATATATAATCATCAATCTAAATAATTCAACTTTATGGTGTAATCCATTAGATGGTAATTCATTAAAGATAACTATCAGGTATTTGTTCGTTAGACAGATAACCTTAAATTCGACAATCAATGTATTTTTAGATATAGATAACTTTCATATGAATAACAAAATATATATTAGTGCATGCAAATGTACCGATAAATAGTGCACCGTTTTGGTTAGAATTTGATGAATAGCTTTTGTTATTCTCATCTAACGGTCACATTACTTTTTACATGCTTCATATATATATATATATATATATATATATATATATATATATATATATATGACTGCTAACTTACCGAAAAAAGTCTTCTTTGCAGTACAATTCATCTGTTCGTACAAAACATTTGTCTGATAAAGAAGTACCACAATCCATACATTTTAAACAATTTACATGCCAACTCTGGTTAAGAACTTGTAGAATAGTTCGATCCATTACCAATTGTTTGCATCCAGCACATTGAGGAGCTAGTCAATAATGAATTTCATATGAAAAAGAAATAAAATGAATATAAAAATAACAATAGAGGTAATCTATATTGTCTACTTCCGTATAACACGAATCTGTAGTGGAAGGAAATTATTCCAATCCGCCTTTAAATATTTGAAACAAACGAAATCCCACTTAAAGTTAGAAGATAATCACTCAAAATGTCACTCTTTTACTACAATAGATAGAGAGACTTAAAAATGTGTTAGATAACAGTACTAGATTTTAAATGAAGTAACTGAATTGGCAAACTAATTGGGAGGTAAACAACTGTATCATTTTTCAAGAAAAAGGTTTCATCTCAGACGAATACCGGATATTTTAGTCTCTGCCTTGCGAAACTCAATAAAGTATGTAGTAATTAAAAAGCCATTTATTATTCCTTCAGCTATTCAGAACACTGTATTTTATTTAATTCCTAATAATTTTGCTTGTCGAGTAGAAAAAATATCATTTACTAATGTTAACATTTTTTAGAGGTTGCCAATCATATGTTATTTGGCATCATTCGGTGCTTATAATTACCTTAGAATATTGCATGAAGTAACCTTAAAATGACTCCGTTTTCTGATTCTTGATGTCCAGTCAGTGATAATAATAATTGTATACTCGATAAATATTCGTCAGTATTTGAGAGAGTGGTTTCACAGAAATTAATCGACTACCGTTTAGAAGATCGCAATCAAAAAATTACTTGTAAAGATCTCAGTAACTGAGCCGACGAAGGCAAATCCTCTCCAATTCTCATTTCAAATTCCTTTTTTGGTGTAATGAGCATTATATTGTGACGGAAATGAACTTACACCAATGCCTGTGTCGATGCCGGAACTTTTACCTATCTCATTTCAAGTCAAAACATGCGTGATTTTAACTAAACAAATAATACTATTTAAGTGTCTGTATATTTAGGGAAGGGTATTTTTTTCATCGATATTCCACTGAATATAATTTTCTGTGTCTCTATGGGTAGTAGAACAAGATGTCTTCATAAGGATCTTCCTGAAGTTTTTGTTTAAAAACTATGTCATTTATTGCTGAAACGATTTGTGATGGTATTTTTTCGGGCTCCAAGTTAGTTTCCATGCAATTTTATAGTAAAATGTAAGCAATGTAGTATATGTTTTAAGCACAAATTTGCAAGTCAAAATTTTATAATAGTTCACTGTTTATAATTGTGAAAATAACCAATTGTATAAAATATTACATTTACTTATCATCTACTCAAAAAACCTATCTGGTTAGAATGTATATTTTGGAAGACCCCTAATTTACCTGTTATTTTCTAACGAAACGAAATGCTAATGGGGATTTGTGGAGATTATAGTGATTTTAATGATTGAATTCATGAGTAGATCTAAGGTAGACCATCATTAAAAACCTGGGAGTATTGGACAGTAGTTCCGTCCTAGTATGAAACGCCTCAGCAGTGCACATCCATGATCCCACGGGCGGGACTCAGTAGTCGAGAGGTTAAGCGTTCGCATATGAGACCGAAGGTTTCGTATTCGAGTCCCGTGTGTGGAATCGTAGGGTGCGCACTTCTGAATCCCATACTAGGCAGAAACGGCTGTCCAGTATTTCCAGGTATTTAATGGTAGTCTAGCTTAGATCGACTCATGAATTCACCTATTAAAAGAAGCTAAATCTGTTCACGAAATTACAAATGGTAAACTGATAATTCTTCTACTAGTCAAGCTGACGAAGATCTAGGGTGTATATTAGCATCCAATCTCCTAGTTATGTTTCTTCTAGAGAGAGAAATATAAGAGTTATAAAAAAGATACAAAGAAAATTTGTTTCCTGATTAGAATTGAATGATAAAAATAATATTGTAATTGTTTTGATAGTACGGTAAGTTCCATATTTTCATCGATAAACAAATCAAACTTAATTGTATATATCAACTACTCATATTTCCGTGTCAAGTGTTAAATAGAATATGAACTGTAATTATAAATAATGATATTTAATTTTACCGATAGAAAAATGTATTTGGATATATTCTTTTCCCTTGACTGAAATAAGCTGGCGAAAAAAATACCGAGAAATACTAAGGAACAAAATGTTTTCTTTATATCAGTGTAATGGACACTTCCTCAATTATTTTTTTTAATAATTGAGATCATGAATCAATTGAAGCTAGACCACCATGGATAACTTGGAAGCACTGGACGGCCGTTTCATCCTATTATGGGACTCCTCAGCAGTGCTTGTTTGTTAATTTATTAACTGCTATATTTCTAAATAGTCATTCAGTTCAACGATAATGTTCTACAACTAATATATATGAACTTTCATCTGAATTAGATTGAATAGTTTCATAGTAATTGGTCTCCAAGTTGATGTGAGACATTAAATAGTAAGAATATATTTATAAAATCTCAGCAAATGTATTTGAAGTAAATCCAACGTTTTGCTTGGCAATATGATCCAAGCTTTCTCAAGGAAATATAATTAAACATCATGAACTCAACTAAATTTATAATAACATTGAATTTTTCAATAACACTGGAAACGGTAGTGATATGGATACTACTACTGCCTCCACTACTACTACTACTACTACTACTACTACTACTACTACTACTACTACTACTACTACTACGACTAATAATAATAATAATAATAATGAAAACAGTGGTTCTGAATAGTTGTCAATTAAATGAATTTAAAAAAAAGAAAACTTTACAATAACAAAAAATAAATGAAATTTCCATGTGACAAAATTGGCTTAGATCTATATTGATGACATGATCTATTGTACATAAATGATATTCGGTTGTTGTTGTTTTTTTGTTTTTTGTGTGACTAAGATATTGACACCCTTATTTATGTAAAATAAATATTTTTTTCCTATTATGTTTCTTATCACTATATTACATATAAAGATTTATTTGTCTGACGCGTATATATATATGCGGTTAATTCAAACCATTCAAGATATTTCCACATTCATAAATCATTTGGTCAGCTTAACAACAACGGATAGAAACCATTCCGAGTTTTAGATAAAATGTGGGTTCATTCATTAACAAAAATAACTGCTGTCTTTACTTCGAATAAAATGTTATTTATTCATATATCTCTAAACAATTAAATAACAAATGTATTCAATGTATTAAATGAAAACTACTTTAGGGATGAGGGGGATAAATACTTTAATTAAAAGTGCTTTGTTCTCATTCCTAACATTTAATAAAAAAAAGGTTATCAAAGAAATCGATTTGGTGAAATTCTTATTGTTGAATGGCTACTTATATAAATGAATAAATAAATCCATAGGAAATAATATCGATATTCTAAAGGTATTTTGTGTAAGCATATAGAGCTGTGGTGAGGTTCTTCGTGTTGCCGATTATCGATAATTTACTAATGTCCTTGCAAAAAACCATGTACTTTTACAAATGAACTCAGATCATGAATTCGATTCAAATAAGTAATAAGACGAAGATTTCGAACCATCTGATTTGAAATGTATTGCGCTAATATATCACATAGTTCTAATAATCTTCGTCCTCTTATCGCAATATCGAAAATATGTTTATCGTTATTGAAAAGATGTTCTTAAGAATTTTTCCTAGATAGATAGATAGGTTTTCAGTTCAAACCAAGTTTACTCTTGAAGGTGAAAATGAACACAATAACTTGTTTATTTTAAACTATTTTATCAAAAATGGATAGTGGCTAGCAGTGGAATCCAGCTTGACGCGCGTTTCGTCCTATTTGGAACTCGTCAGCTGGATGTACCTGCATTTCTGAGTTGATGTTCACTCTGGACTCGAATCTACTACCTTTTGCTTCAAACTCCATCGCGTTATCCACTCAGCTACTGAGTGGATTCAAACAAGCAATACTAAATGAATTTATATGATCAAAAAAAATTTAAATGAAACTCTAATTCTGATGATCTACTTACACATTCATGCTGGTATATTGACTTCATTTACAATGTAAATTTGTTCAGAAATGTTACTACAATCATCGCATTCAAAGAAGATTAAGCAAAGAGAATAAAATGTTATGATAAATATCTTACAATTCAATAATTTTCCTATAAATATTAATGAGTTTTCCAAGACAAAAAAATTTATTGTTGAATAATTAATCAGATGAAATTTCATGGATTGTTCAGAAGTTTTACCTTACCGTCATGGTATGACAGAAACACTGTCGCAAGTCTTAGAACTATAAAAAATTAAAGTACTCTACAGAATAGTCAACTTTTCTAGATGCTTTAGTCTGAGTATAAGTAAATGTCTTTCTACTTATAAACAGAATTTTTCTTATAGAATAAGTTGTCTTGATTATCATCTCTTCTATGCTGTAGTCTTCTCATGATACCTTAATTTATAAAAGACTCGAGAATCTACAAATTAAGTCAGCAATAGCAGTATTCTGTTTCTATCACCCTTCAAGTCGATAGTTAAAATATCAAACTAATTCGAAAAGCTTTTGCAAACTATAAAAATAGGCGAGTGGCTGAAGCTTCCCATATATGTTCCTAAAACCTACTACTGCACCTAATATAAAGGAAGATATAGGTATTCATCCAACTTGGACCGTCTTTCTAAACAACTATATCTAGTTTGTTCAAATCTTATGTCATCGACAAGCAAACTGGATCTGTTTCTTTACGTCGAGATGTATTACTCCTTTCATACCCACTCATACATACATATATGTCACATCTTTGACCTGAACATTATGACATCAACATAATTAAACTTGTTTGGAAGTACCAAATATTTTGTTATATTTCTCTATAAAATTTAAATTTATATTAATTGAACTCGGTTATTTATTCTTTGAATAAGGAACTCATACTGAGTCTTGAAACATCGTAAAGTTAATTTTCTACTCACTGGTATTTAACAAACATACTACATTATTCTTATGAACAACCGTTAATCCTGATCCTCATTTGGTAACGGCACTGTATAATCTATGTCCTATTTCATCAATCTTAGTTATATTCATT